GCTCTTCCAGAGGTCCTGAGTTCAATTCCCAGTAACCATCTTTATGGTGGCTCACAACCATCTGTAATGGGGTTCAATAGCCTCCTCTTGTATATCTGAAAACAGCTACTGTGTACTCACATAAAATAAATAAATAAATAAGTGCTTTTTTAAAAAAATAAATAAAAGGGGCATTTAAAAGCACAGGAAGGGAGAACAGAGCAGATCCTGGGCAGCAGCTCTGCACCCAATCTCACAAAACCCAGAGGAAGCAGGCCTCCCAGGAGCTCTAACCTGGGCAGTATCTTTGGTAAAAAGATAGCAACACCCGCCCCAAACAGGGAGTAATTGGGACCTACTGGGACCCAGGAATTCACTTCTGGCCCGGTGCACTGGTTCCTTCCTGCCTGCACCCGAGCACTGAGTAGATCTTGGGCCCCAGCTCTAACCCTAGTAGTAACACCCACCCCACACAGTTCTGAAACAACCAAGATAATAGGAAAGACAGGCTCTAGTCAGAGACAGGGCAGGTAGCACTAAGGAGATCCAGATGGCACAAGGCAAGCGCAAGAACATAAGCATCAGCAACCCAGGGTACTTGACATCATTAGAACCTAGTTCTCCCACACTAGAAAGTCCTGAATTCTCCATATCACCAGGAAAACAAGATTCAGATTTAAAATCACTTCTAATGATGATGATAGAGGACTTTAAGAAGGACATAAATAGCCAGGCAGTGGTGGCACACACCTTTAATCCCACACTTGGGAGGCAGAGCCAGGCGGATTTCTGAGTTCGAGGACAGCCTGGTCTACAGAGTGAGTTCCAGGACAGCCAGGGCTACACAGAGAAACCCTGTCTAGAAAAACCAAAAAAACCCAAACCAAAACAAAACAAAACAAAAAAAAGAAGGACATAAATAACACTCTCAAAGAATTTGAGGAGAACACAGGTAAACAGGTAGAAGCCCTTAAAAATGAAACACAAAAATCCCTTAAAGAATTACAAAAGAACACAACCAAAAAGGTGAAGGAATTGAACAAAACCATTGAGGACATAAAAATGGAAATAGAAGTAATAAAGAAATCACAAAGGGAGACTACCCTGGAGATAGAAAACCTAGGAAAAAAATCAAGAGTCATAGACACAAGCATCACCAATAGAATATAAGAGATAGAAGAGAGAATCTCAGGTGCAGAAGATACCATAGAAAATGTTGACACAACTGTCAAAGAAAACGAAAACTACAAAAAGTTCTTAACACAAAACATCCAGGAAATCCAGGACACAATGAGAAGACCAAACCTAAGGTTAATATGTATAGATGAGAGTGAAGATTCCCAACTTAAAAGGCCAATAAATATCTTCAACAAAATTATAGAAGAAAACGTCCCTAACCTAAAGAACAAGATGTCCATAAACATACAAGAAGCCTACAGAATGCCAAATAGACTAGAGCAGAAAAGAAATACCTCCCATCACATAATAATCAAAACACCAAATGCACAAAACAGAGAAAGAATATTAAATGCAGTAAGGGAAAAAGGCCAAATAACATATAAAGGCAGACCTATCAGAACTACACCAGACTTCTCACCAGATACTATAAAAGCAAGAAGATCCTGGACAGGTGTCATACAGACCCTAAGAGAACACAAATGCCAGCCCAGGCTACTATACCCAGCAAAAGTCTCAATTACCTTAGATGAAGAAACCAAGATATTCCATGACAAAACCAAATTTACACAATATCTTTCCACAAACCCAGCAGTACAAAGGATAATAGTGGGAAAGCTCCAATACAAGAAGGGAAATTATACCCTAGAAAGAGCAATAAATTAATCCTCTTCCAACAAATCCAAAAAGATAGCCACACAAAGATAATTCCACCTCTAATAACAAAAATAACAGGAAGCAACAATCACTGTTCCTTAATATCTCTTAACATCAATGGACTCAATTCCCCAATAAAAAGATATAGGGTAATGGACTGGATAAGTAAACAGGACCCAACATTTTGCTGCATACAGGAAACCCACCTCAGTGACAAAGACAGACACTACCTTAGAGTAAAAGGCTGGAAAACAATTTTTTCAAGCAAAT